TGCTGTCTGAAATTTCCAGGAGGTGCGTTTAGCCCCTTGCATACAATGTTGTGCACACTCCAACAACGTTTCTGTTTAACGCACTATTGTATTTTCGGAGGTGGCCGATGTTGGTAGTGAGGTGGTTGTCCGAGAGGTGCTGTCGGGTACCGGCGCAGGTCTGCATAAATGGCCTTGAATGCCGTTGGTGGCGATGTCTTGCCTTGTCAATGTCGGGAAAGGAGCGGCAGCCGCTGCTGCAACCGTCGTCGTGGCCGGGGAGTAGACGTCGGGCTCATCCCTCAAAGGGTGACCCGGTAACGGCGGGGGCCCGCGTCTGCGCGGGCCCCGCCGAGGGCGAGAAAGGACACCGCTGACTGCCGACTTGTTTATTCCGAATCTCAGGGTCAACTGTTCTAAAGCGATCCTAGCACGAGCTGAGCACGCGACGCTGCGTGTGGGGCACGCGCTTCTCTGGTTCAGAATTCAAGCCGTACGACCGCTCAACTCAGAATACTACATTCTCCCTTTCTTAATAATATTTTTTACACAAACATAATGGGAGAATAAAAAGCTAAACAAAGAACACAAAGCACTATGAAGCAAGCCCCTATTCTCTCTTTCTTATTTTTTTAACATTTTCTAAAACAAAAGCAAAGTACTACAAAAACACGACTCTGGTTTCGTAATGAAGACCCAAGAAATCAAAAATCAAGTCCGGTGAAAAGGAAGTGTCATTTCGATAGGTTCACTCAAATTTGAAGAAAACGCCGACTCATGCATGCATGTGTATGAAAAGTTCGTTGAGAATCTTCAGGTGTTGTTGTTCTCAAAACTTTGGTACTTCGATTGTCGAACTCAAAACTCCTTTCAAAAATTAAGCCTATTCCTGGCACCACACGTCTTGAACGCAAGAGGTGCTAATTCTTCCGCATACGGCGGTGCCAAGGAACGTGGCTGCTCACCAGTGAAAGCGAAGCACAACACAAGGTGGCTTTAGCTGAAATCTCTTGGCGCGTGCAGGCGCGCGTTTTCTTTCTCTGAAGTTGTGTCGTGAAAGGCATATGCAACAGAATACCTAGGCTTTGCAGGAGAACCAGGCGCTGCAGGAACATTCGATGCAGCAGAAAACCGGGCCTCACAGGAAAAGCAGGCGCTGCACTCTTTCATCTCGGCGAAGTGTCAATAAAGACGGGTGGCCATCTTTCAAACAGTCATGTCGGGAGGCAGGAGCTTGCGGCCATCTTGGGCACTGACTTGGATCGGTGTCGGAGCATCACGACGATAAAAAAAAACAGCTTGAGCATAACTACGCTACACTTCTGAATCCTTCGGACCTCAGCCTTGAGCGTACAACACAAAAACAAATCTCGATTTGAAGAAAGTCCACGTCATCGCAGGGCGGACGGGATGAAGAAAAAAATTGCTGCCTCTGAAGGCCAGCTGCTCGGCCAGGGCTTATTTCTCGCCTGGAACAATGTTCACGTCATCGCAGGGCGGACGGAACCGAAAACAAAATGCTGTCTCGCAAGACCAGCTAACTCTCTCAGGGCTTATTTCTTGCCTGGAACATTGATTCTGGAACGCGCTGCGTTCAAAATAAAAACAAAAAAACAGTAAAGCTACCAAAAAATTAACTCGGCGTTCGAAACGTTAGGCGTACAGGAGTTCCGAGACGCTCTGGTTCGGAGAAACGAGTACCACCTGGCGGCTCGAAGTAGGCCGCACGAAAAGAAACAGACGAAAGTAGAAAAACCAAACGCTAGCTCGACTGGCCCGAATAGTCATAACGAAACGCCGCAAGGCTGCGAAGAAAGAAACGTCCAAGATGCGCCGGTTCATGCCAACTATGCGACCGGGACGCAGTGCTTGCCTTAAAACTGTCGTTGCCCTTTTGGAATCCCATCCTCGTCGCCATATTGTATTTTCGGAGGTGGCCGATGTTGGTAGTGAGGTGGTTGTCCGAGAGGTGCTGTCGGGTACCGGCGCAGGTCTGCATAAATGGCCTTGAATGCCGTTGGTGGCGATGTCTTGCCTTGTCAATGTCGGGAAAGGAGCGGCAGCCGCTGCTGCAACCGTCGTCGTGGCCGGGGAGTAGACGTCGGGCTCATCCCTCAAAGGGTGACCCGGTAACGGCGGGGGCCCGCGTCTGCGCGGGCCCCGCCGAGGGCGAGAAAGGACACCGCTGACTGCCGACTTGTTTATTCCGAATCTCAGGGTCAACTGTTCTAAAGCGATCCTAGCACGAGCTGAGCACGCGACGCTGCGTGTGGGGCACGCGCTTCTCTGGTTCAGAATTCAAGCCGTACGACCGCTCAACTCAGAATACTACACGCACTCTCCTCATTTCTCTCATTCGGGAGCTTAAGACTGTTGGCTTCCCAGTAAAGGCTGTGGTCTGTGGTTAGGGGGCTTCAAACGTAAGCTTGGTGTGTGTGTTGATAAGCCATTTTTTGAAGTTGACAACGAACACCTTTACTTTGTCTTTGATGTTCCGCACCTTCCCCAAAAAAACCAAGAGCAATCTCCAAGCCCACAAACTTTGCATTGGAAATGAGGTCATTGAGTGGTCTTCTATTGTTGAACTTTATTGTTCTATTCATGAGATGAGCTTGCAATTGGCTCCGAAACTTACTGAGAGACACATTTTTTTGAAGAAACTTTCTGTAACATGGAAGAAAATTGTGCCCCACAGGTACTGAGTGCCTCACTCTTTCTTGCAATAATATCCCTTGTTTATGCCAAGGAGCTTCCTGAGGCAGCCATGGCTACAGCCTATTTCTGTGATAGGATGTGCATACTTTTTGATTCTCTAGATAGCTAAAAAATTCAAGAAGACAGGGCAAAAGTTGTGTCATGCCATTTTGAAGGGAGAATCTGAAATACTTGATTTTCTCCACCAGTAACTCGGATGGATTTCAGCATGGCAGTTCCAAAGTAGGAGGCAGCCATAAGCTATCACTGGGTGGCAAGTTACTATAAAAAGTGTCCTCGTGCTCTGGGATGAGCTTTCAAGCAGCCATGACTTACACTACTGCTTTCAAGCAGCCATGACTTACTTAACGACGCCTGCAGCAAGACACATTGAGAACGTTTTTGGAGCTATATACGACAAATGCTGGGCTGCAACACAAACCCAAATGTGCATCAGTTCACCTCCGGACTAAAACACCTCTCGATAAAAAAAAACTGTTCAAACTGTCGGACAATGAAAACGTAGAGGATGACAAGGCTGACCTCCTAAAGGAGTTGCAAATATCTTCGCACCATGAAAGTTTAATTTCAGACTTGTGGAATGTCTTCCAATTGATAACTTCCCGCCACTAGAAAATATTTCTGAGCTGGCGTCAGACATCAGGTGTAACATAATTGATGACTCGTCCACTTTTTTATTACGTTTGGGGCTATTTGATCAAGCTTTTGCTTGAACAGACAACTTACAGCTATGGCTGTTCTCAGCTGCTATCGGATGAGTCTAGTAACTTGACCAGGCCTCACCAATACTGTCTTGTTCCTAAAGCATACCACGTGCCTGGAAAATTCTTCGGGAACTTAGTAGTACCACCACAGCCTGCCTTTCATTTCATTCAGCAACTGGAAAATCACTTTCTTCCCATAATAGCGAGTGTGACACATTTTCGAGGAGTGTGTGCCGCCTTGTATAGCACACTTTGAGTCTGGGTGGTTTTAGCCTTTGCCCAGAGGAGTACCACAAAAGGTTTTTAAGATTGTTTTGCAGAATACGCTTGTGTTGACATGTTTGATTTCTTAACCGGAATTTGGACAAAGTTCGGTTGCACTCTTCAGTGGCTAGTAAGCAACGAGACAGGTTTAACTGTTAATAGTGTATTAACAAAGGCGGTTGCCAAACCAAAAACAAAAAGTGCTTATTAAGTGGGCGGTGCAGCTTGCTCTCCAAACATTTGTTTCCCCTTTTTCCAGCGAATGTGTATCACGGCTCCCTAACAAAAATATTTGTCCACTTTCTACAAAATTTCGACAGAAAATTGTGTATAGAGGCTAAAAATATTTGAAAGAAAATGTATCCACTTTTGTATCCACTGTCCATAGTTTTTTAGCCGCTTTTTTCTAAAGTCATATTTCTTTTCTGAACAATTTCGGGGAATGTTTAGGGACGTTGAATCTTGTCAGATTTCGAATAGAGTTCTCATTGTTTGGTAATGGCTCGCCCGCAGTGAGTTTGAGGCTATGCAAATTGGTGTTTTTTATATTTGCCGGAAATCGGGGAATGAAGCACACGCCGGATAGGCGTGTGCTTCGATTGGTAATTATAGCGATGTCTTATTTATTTTTGCACTTACTTCTCGTACCCGAGTCGGCGTGAAAGTGAATGTATCATACAGCATGTTCTCCGTGGAAAGGGTTTGTTAACTTGGTTCCGCTAAGAATTTACTACGAAGTGTACGATATGCTGACGTCCTTCATATTCATTTATTTTTGCGAGTATCGATCTCTTTCGTATAAAACATACAGAGCTTCTGAAGTAAATCATGTATACATGAATGTGGTCCAATAAAATGTGTTCGAACCACTTACTGTTGTTGACCCCAAAATGCTCCACCAGTCAGGAGTCAATGCGGCGATTGTGTAACTTCAATGCTTTACAATAAAAAAAGAACAAGAAATATATATACTTCTGCTTTGTGAAGTAAGTTGAACTATCGTTTGACAGATTTTGCACGGACTCTATCGTAAAAAATAAACCAAAAGTGCGTCAATATTAAAAAAAAAAAAAAAAAAAAAAAAAAAAAAAAAACAGCGGCTTCGGGAGTCCCGAGAGCCGAGCGAGGCGGGGAGGAAAGAGAGGGGTACCAAAGAACCGGAGCAGAAACGCCCAAACCGAAACCGAAACTAACTTGACCGGAAACGGAATCAGATTATGCTTAATACCGCCCGCTAGGAGCGCTACCTGTCACTGGTCTATCTAGGCCGCTGGGGCCTATGGTAGTGTCCGCTCTTTACCTTGTGTATATTACTCTATGAACGGACCGTCAAGGCCTGTTTCATCGGACCGCTCTGCCGATCTCTCGGCGTGGAGGAAACGTAAACAAAGGTATGTTTCATTTTCGTTGTTGTTACTACTTGTGCTGAACAATGGAGCGGGCGAAGCGTTCGCTATCAGAGCTATCCGATCGTTAAAAAAGACGTAGAGTAGCCGAAAGTGTTCGCAAGGAACTTGAAAGTTGCGGTACGAGCAGTGAGGAGTCTGTGGACACTGAGGAAGCATACCCTCTTGCACCTGTACAACAGGCCGTGGCAGCACATGCAAGTTTTTCCGGAGAGTTTGAATACCAACGAGCTTCCGAGTGTGAATCTGAGTCGAGTGATACGAGTGGTGCACGAAATAACCTAATCTCTGAACACCTGTGTCAAAATCCCCGCTGCGAATTCCCCGCTTTACCTCCCCCTCTTCAAAATCCCCGGCCTTCAAAACCCCCTTTCCTTTATCTCCTTATCAGTTCCCCCGGGCCAGTGGTCCTTAGAAACCATTTGGAAAAGCGCTTTTATGGACACTTCATAAAGCTGAGCTGTGTTATGACCATCCTAGCCAGCCCCAAATTTTCTTTGACACACTGTGATCTTGCAGAATCTCTCTTGAGAGAGTTTGTTTCTGGAGCTGGTACCTTGTATGAGGGGGTTTATGTCTACAACATGCACTCCCTGATCCACCTGACAAGACGTTCGACGGTTCGGCCCTGTCAACACCTTCTCGGCCTTTCCCTTTGAGAACTTCCTTGGGAAGCTCAAGAAGTTGGTGAGGGGTCCTTCCTTGGCGCTGCAGCAGGTTATCAAGAGGCACTCAGAAGTGAATTCCACCACCGTGTCAAGTTCTGTGCAGCAGAAGTGTACTCTGCTCAAGCAACAACCTGAGCCGCCAAGCTTCAAGAAAACCCAGTGCAGTGAGCTTGTTTTAGACGGAGCACATTTCTCTCAGAAGGCGTCCGACAACTGTGTTCAACTGAAGTATGGCAACATTGCTGTTGTTAGGAACTTCATTGAGTCAGATGGGAACTGTAGCATCTGCGGACAGTTTTTCCGAAATCTCGGCAACCTTTATACTTCAAAGCTGCCATCATCAGAGCTAGGAATTTTTGGAGCTACAGGGCTCTCCATGCAGTATTCAGTGGGGAGTGTGCAGGACATCAGGTGGAAGTGCGTCTGCTTGCAATATAACCAGGGACATGATTGTAAACCTGAGACTGGGGCAGAAAGGAGAACACAGCAGAAGGTAGAAAAAGAGGAGGCAATGTCTCAAACTCAGCTGCAAAGTTTATTTCGTACACGCCTTATATACCACAACTCCAACGCTGTCTATACAAAAAAAAAAAGATATATGACAAGAGGACAATGAAATTTGGGTAAACCTTCTCTTATCTCCCTTGACCTCTCCTGCGAAACACTCACACAAAGGGTCACATTCCAGCATAACCACCGCCATTCGGCGTTGGAGTTGTGGTATATAAGGCGTGTACGAAATAAACTTTGCAGCTGAGTTTGAGACGTTGCCTCCCCTTTTTCTACCTTCTGCTGTGTTCTCTTTTCTGCCCCTGTCTCAGGTTTACAATCATGTTCAACTTACACCAGCTCGCCTGCACTCTGACTATTTTTTCGATAACCAGGGCTATGCTGTTTTTTTATCTACTTCACTTGCAAGTGTGATCTATGTTTGCAACTATTGTACATTGGTTGTGCTTAATTCGAAAACTGTATTTTTAGTGACTTATGACTGGTCTTTAAGGTAATAACGGCTTTATTTGTTGATTTCAGAAAATGTACTCTCTTGTCCATTTTTTGGCGGAAAATGATGTCGCAGTTGTCCCTACCTGTTGGGTGTGCAATGGCTGCACGGCATGGCCACCCTACAAATCAAATCGGTTGATGATGGCAATTAGAGAGCGTGAAGAGCCCTCGACTGACTGGGCCACATTCTCCTGTCAGGTGATGGCATCATGTTGTAAGTATAGCAGGGTGTCTAGCAACCGGGAAAACCGGGAATTGTTAGGGAAATTTTAATTACCGGGAAAAATCAGGGATATTGTCAAAAATCAAGCCCAGTCATGGAAAATGAGCTGGAAATGCCATTGAGTGCCCTGAGCAAAGAGTTGAGAACCTTGGGGCACAGAAATAGGCAATAAATTCTGCTTAGAGCGGAGCGCGGACTCTGCTCACCCAATGTAGAGTGTGCTAGAGCACTGCACGAGCCAGAATTTCTAGACCCGGCCCAGTAGAGGCACGGCCCGGGTTTGGCCCGAGCCTAATAGAATATTTAATTTCCGGGCCCGGCCAGACTTGGCCTTGAAGAGACACGGCTCGGGCCCGGCCCGGACCCGACAGAATTTTAGACAGAAGCTTGAGCCCAGCACGAGCCCGACAAAATTTTTGTTTTCTTTAATATAAACCTGAGCTGGCCCAATCCTCACAGATTATATACATGAGCCCGAAAAAGTTGGCAGGCTTTAACCTAAAAGCTGTCTAACCATAAAGCGAGCATATTTGATTTAATGAACAAAAGTTTAGGGTGCATACAAGCTTGTGGTGGTTAAACATTTGACTAGTGTGCTCGGCTTTCTTGTTTCAGTGACATATGAAGATGCAAAGTACAAAGAAAAAAAATTCGGAAGCGACGTCCGACCTAACATTGAATAATGAAGAGCGGGAGAAGAGAAAAAGGAAGAGACTGCAGCATACTCTTTCTTCATTTGAGGATGAGGACTTCTATGACCAAGATGTATGCACCTAAATTTCTGCAACACCTTTGTATTCGGGATTCATTTGCCCTCCTTTTTCATCAAGCTTGCCTCTTATGCAGGAACGACGTAACACTCAGCCAGCCCCTCAACTTCCAGAACGTGCACCAGAGCCCAAGCAAAAACGCACACGTGTATGTTTGCTTTTTGTTGCTGCAATTTCTTAACGCTTTCCAGCATTTAGATTTTTTATTTTATGTGATTAGCCTCAGCTTGGTTAGCTGCAATTGTGATAATGAATGGTATCCATATTGTTTATTGAGCACCTGCTGTTTTGGTGTTTCTTTTAGAGCGCAGCTCTTAGGCGCCCGTTTCCGGCTTGAGTGGTGTCGCCGTCGCCGTAACCGCGGCGACGTTTCGGCAAGGTTACGTTTCGGCACTATGCCAAATTGTCCTCGCGGGGTCACGTGACCCCCGTCAGGAGGGTCACGTGACCTCACGGTTGCGGCAACACCGCTCAGAGGGAGGTGTGGCAGGGAGGAGGGGTATACCCTTTCCTCGGGACCCTTCCCTCCTCTTCTAGAGCTGCACTCTAATTTAGCGTTACAGGGAGTTGTAAACGGCTTTCATTTTTTTATCTAGTCATTTTTAATTTTACAAAGCTGCTAGTTGTGGTATGCTTCCTCGCACAAGGACAGTTATAGCCTAAGGGATGGTGAAGTGGATATTTTTAATTTGACGGTGCATATGTTTGCTTTGTATTGCTGCAACCTCATGTTTGCATAATTCTGCTGTACTAGTCATTTTTATTTTACAATTTAATTTATTTTGTTTATTTATCTATGCTTTCTGGTCAAAGGATACATTAGAATGCTTGCTGTTTGTGCACTCTAACCCTAGCACTTTTTATGAACCTGTCCTCTGCTTTATATGTGGAATGGTTTGGGCAGCGTTAGGATTGACCACTTCTTAAAGAAAGGTGGTACATTTTGTTTTACACCACCGAGCACTCTGGTGTAAGGTACATTACCATATAGCTGAATGACACAATCAGCTATACACGTTTGCAAGCAGTCATGTTTCCAAAGGTAGTCTAGCCACCATGGGTAGGGAAACGTGCTCTCAGGGTACCAATCTGTCAATTAGCTTAGTGACGCTTTAGCAAGCCTTCATAATCGGATTATCTGGGGTGCACCCGAGCTGGAAGATGGCAGCGCGCAAGGGCCCGCCATTTTGCAGACTCTGTCTCATTTTTGTTAGTGAGAGAAAACAAAGGCTTCTTCAGTATCATCTAGGAAAACCTCATGTCCAATATTATCTCCATTTAAATCTTTATGAAATGGATCAGCAAACTGCTAACCCTAGCTGACAATGTAGGCGCAAACGACAGCGCAGTTGCTACTACGGCTTCAGTGCACCAAACATCAATTTACTATGTCAGGTGCATTGTTACGTTTTCTTTGTTTTTTCCATGCACAGTCAGTCCTTGACTTGAGCAATGTCTTCTCCAAAAGTTGGTTCAGCGGTGTCCACATGATTGGCACAGACCTGGATGTGCACGTTTCTCATGGTTCACCTCTGTTAAATAATAATGGCATTGTTTGCACAATGTTCACATACTCAATGGCTTATTTATGTACTATTTAGTAGACTTCGCTGCATACTAATGTTCCTGAGATATTTATTCCTTTGAGAAAACTTGGCTTTAGCGTAGGTTGCAGTGGTGCGGATGTCGTCCGACACGGAGCAGACAACACTCAGGCCAGTCTGTTTGCGTCGTCCTCGCAGGGGTAGCACATCATCATTTGTACCATGGGATTGGTCATGTCTCCTCCGTCTCTGCCATTGTTGCCTGTAGAAGCCGATGTTTCGGGTTTTATTTGGGCTATGTTTAAAGCAAAATTGCATAGGAAATATTCCACCAATGCATGAAATAAAATAGTTATTTTTATATTTCTTTTTAAATTTCTTTTTTATTTTTATTTGAAGTCTTATAATTCCAAAAGTTTTGGAATTAAGCAGAGTTGCCTTTTAACAACAAATGGCTATAGCTAAACAGGGCACACAAGTGAGGAGCTTTTTTTTTTCTAAAAAGGCGAAAACCACATGAAGCAAAACAGATAAATTGGTATGTTTGCTTATCAGTATAGCTTTGAGCCATGTGCCGCAGCCACCTCTGCTGTGGTTTTTATAGCGTACTCTGACCGATTTCACTGTAGTAGCATTTGAGATCGATGGACCAACGAATATAGTTTGAATTCATACAAAAATTTGCTTGGTTTCAGTTTTCTGGATTTGGCTCTTTTAGATGAAAGGAAACTGTGTCCTGGTGAAGCATGTGACAGCAGCCCACATAAGCTCACTACAGTGGAGTTTTGTCCCATGCCTCGCTCCCGAGCTATCTGGCTCATTGACAGGGTGTCTAGCACCTTGGAAAAGCTGGAATTGTCAGGAAATTTCGGATCATCTGGAAAAGTCAGGGAATTGTCAGGGAGATAATCAAAAAGTTAGCTAAATCAGGGTAAATGGCCAGGGCGAGTAATGCGGTGGTGTGCGACAAAGCCAGGAGAGTCGTGCATTGACGTGGCTGTGCTAAATACCATTGCCCGAAACTTTGTAAGTCTTTGACTTCTTGAGCAACATAAAGACCGATTTCAATAAATTGTTTTAAATTGTGAGTGGTGTTCACTTATGAGGTGTTTAGTAGCAGTTCGTACCACATCTCCAAACTTCTGTAATGGACAGGGAATTTAAAACCTGGAAAAGCTGGGGAACTTAAAAGGAGGAATTTGCTAGACACCCTGGCTGATTTCATAGTTACCGATGTCTGCCAAGTTATGCTGAAGTAGGGCATGAAATTGTCGATATTTCACTGTGGTAGCTGACATTGTGTTGTAATTATATACTTTCGAAACAGGAGCTGTGCGCACCTGCCTTAAACAGAAGGCAGAAAACAATGAGCCAGCCATCATCGTGCAGGAAGCCGACGCCAAATGGGCTGCTGCTGAATCGGTCAGGCATGCACCAGCTAGGACCAAGAAAATGGTAATATGATATTTCTAATTTTGCTTAAACTCCCGAAAAATACTTTTGCATCCTAAAACAAGCCCAGATTTCAAACAAAGGCATTAGTCTACTTTACATAAAGACATTTTTAAGTATTAAGAAATTTATTTAGCCAATGAAAGAACACCATGTTATGACATTGTCTGCAATGAGCTTGACATTGTAGAAAATATGAGGCTCATTGACATTGCCCCTGGGTCCGGACAGTTCATCAAACGCCGTTTCATTGAACATTGTTTCATCGAAGCTGTTTCATTGAACGCAGTTTTATCGAACGCTGTTTCATTGAACGCCATTTCATCGAAGTTGTTTCATTGAACGTAGCCTATTTGAGCAGTAGAAATATTTTTCTTTTTAGTGCCGGGAGGATAGCAGTGTTTTAATATTTATTGTAACTTATAAACTTATATATATATAAAAGGAAGGAACCTTTTTTTGTCACCTTCTATTCTTTTTTTTTTAGTAAATGATGACTTCTGTTAATGAGGCCAATAAGACACGGTAACACTAACGACACTTTTAAAAGCTGTGATCATCAGGTGCAGTGATGAATGCACGTCCATTCAAAAGCGTATATATATCTTCGTCCTTGAAGAGACCTATTCTGCTTCTAGACGAAGCCGTCCTTGAGGCAGTGATCTGTCTCCGTGGCCCATGATACGGGGACAAGAAAAGATGTGTCTCCTCTCTTTGTTAATTTATTATTTATATTTATTAGTAGAAGAACATCTATGTTCTTAAAAAGAAAGCTATTCTCTTAGGATAAAATGAAAACAAAGTTAAATCTACAAATACAAAATAAAAAAGGTGCTGCAGAAAATAGCTGTTTCCCTCTTAAGAAAGTGCCTTTCACGTATGAATAAATAGAAGGTTGAAGTGGGAAAAAGTGAGTGGCCGAGAACAGCCGCCTACCTTGCCAGAAAAGAATAAGTCGCATATCCACTGTCTTCTGTGGGTAGGTCACACTTTGCGGTAAAAGTCTAAACTGGATGAAAAGAATGGCTTGTGCATGCAAAGAAACTGTGGACAGATGCTAGGACAGATGTAGGCATTTCTTTTTTTATCTTGATGACACTCTCTGCCCTGAAATAGGCACCCATTTTCTGAATGCAACCAACTTTTTTGTGTTATTTTTTTGCAGGAGCAGTGTGCCTCTTCTCAGGAGTGACTGAGGGGCTGCCACAAGGGGAGAAGGCAAGCATGTTTCTGATTACAAGGATGGACAGTTGGGCCGGGCTAGTTGGTAAGAATTCATGTTGAAAAACGGTGCGAAAACCAGACAAAGGAAAAAGAACACACAGTGCCTTGTCCTGTGTGTTTTCTTATCCGTGCATTTTGCGCTGTTTTTCAGCATGTTTCTGCCTTGATTTTTCTGTTAGTTTTAAATGTTAGTAGTTGGTTACTTTGATCCCAGTTGGAAGCATGGAATTAATTAACCGTGTTAAATGCATAGAATTGGAAAAAAAAAAAAATTCATGCTACCTAAATCATTTAAAATGCTTTTTTTTCTAATGATTTCTTTCTCCTTTTTTTACAGCCATCCCATGAGTAGAGTCCCTGTTGTTTGAATTTTTTATGTCAATTTGTAATATGCATATGTTACCTTTAATTTCTATTCATGCATACATTTTAGCCCCAGCTAGTGGTTTGTTTTATTTAATTTATGTACACATTAGTGTGGTATTTTTAGAAGATTTAAAATTTATGTTCTTTTTCTAGTCATTTTTGGTTTATTGCCTCCGTTATTTATTTATATGTCCTAGCCCAAGATCGGGTGTAATTTGAGATATATTTAGAATTTTATTTTAGGCTACTTGCTTTATGTTGCTGGGAGTTTTAATATTTTACATTTTTATTTTTATGCAGATCAGCCTTGTAATTTAGTGTGTTCTTTACAATTTTGTAGATCTAATAGCTTGTAAGAAACAGAAGAATTCTCTGGTACTTGTAATGTTGGTTTCGTTTTTTAAATAAATTTATTCCAATAACTTCTTGTTTTCTTCCGGAGTCCTGCTTCTAGGATTTCAAAATGCTGATTCATTAATGGCCTGTAATGCACATCCATTTACTCATATCAGGCACCAGCTCAAAAAATGACTTCATGACAACCATAAATGCAGTTTCCTGGCAGCGCTTGTCAATGTATTTTCGGATAACATTGTTCAGTACTGTCCAAGTAACACGTGCAGTAATATCTGGCCAGTGCCAGCATATTGTAAAAATGTTTACTGAAAGTTAACAGAATAAAAGCACTGAGGAAAAACAGATGACCGCTCTTTCATTTAGTTACGACGCTCGTTTTTTGGAAGCAAAGACTCGCGCACAGGTCAAGA